CTATATATATACAATGGTACATAGTGTATGCTGTGAAATATAAAAGAGATAGTATTTGAAGTGCGTGATGTATTAACTATGACTTGTGAGGCGTTAATTGCTTAACTAAGTCTTTTGAGGCTTTATTTACTCACTCGCTTGGAGTCTTGTTTTTCTGACAAATCTGTTGTATCCTCATGTTTTACAGTCTTTCCAGCTAAGGAGGGGTGATGATTTTCGATCTAGCGGTTGTAATTTGGGTATGAGCCTTGTGAATTCTGGCTTATTGTGCAGTTCTATCCGACACCTCATTGCGGCTGCTACACGAAGGACTTAATGGTTCGAACTTGGATCCGAACATTGTTGGCCAAGGCTAATTGCGATGATGGTTTCATTCGTCGTCAATTGCGGTTATTACATGAAGGAGTGATTCGACCTTGGATCCGAGAATTCTTGGTTCCGCCTGATTGTGATGATGTTTGCATCTTGCGATTGATAAGGTACTACAGCGCGAGTGAGCGCGACTGTTTGGGACTGCATAGTACATACACGCTCTCTAAAATAAAATAAAAACGTCAACTTTGGACTTGGGGGGTGTGAAATTCCAACACATTCCGGAAAGATCTGAAAAGTGATGATGGATAGTGAATCCAAATGAAAATCAGTGTAATCAAAATCAATAATATTGAGATAATCTCAATATTTATGGGGCAAAGGCAAGCCACAGAAACAGAGGTTGAAAATAAATATTGATCGAGACTGTTCTGTGACAAAATCTGCGTACGAATATTTCGTATATAGTTATATATAAAAGGCACAGCTACATGCATTCTATTTTCATATCATAATACAACAAGTAAACTTACAAATAAATCAAAACAAGTATTGAAATGACGTCTATCAAGGTCATTAATGGCCCTAGCGACATCCGTCGGCTGCGTGCGGCTAATTGGGTTGACGCAAAAAAACAAATCCTGTCACGTTTCGATGCGCAAAACTTCACGGCCAAGTACGTTGACGAGGACGGCGATGACGTGACCATTTCGACTGAAGATGAGTTCCAGGAGGCGTTAGAGCAGGCTACAGGCACCCTTCGTGTGATCCTGTTTGACGTCGAGAAGCGCTCTGATGTCTCTGATATACCTAATATACCGGTAATGTCCTCTGATTTTGATAAAGAAGACACCGTGTTGGTTGAACCGGTCGACGAGACGTGTGTGGAACCGACAGTGGACGAGCCTGAAGAGGTACAGCCAGTGGTTACTGAGTCACTGTCTGAAGATAGTGATGCAGAGGACATGGGCGAACAACAGGCCACTGTAGAGGCTGTGGACACAGAGCCAGAGAGCAATGCCAAAGACAAAGAGGGCGATGCAGGTCAGGCTGAGAATGAAGGTGATGTGAACAATGAATACAAGTCTGAAACACATGAAGTAACAGTAGCGAATAATGTAGAGACAGAAACAAGCGGATCAAAGGCAACTGATACTAAAGTAGCAGAGGAGACTGCAACTGATAATAAGGATGGCAAGAAGGAGGCACCGAAATTATTTGACTTCTTGGAGTGTGTTTTAGGGAAGGGTATCGGAGAGCTGGTGGAGAACCTGGCCAAGATTGATTTGCGCGAATACAAGGATGATTCAGAGCAGAACGAGTCTACTGAGAGTTCCGAAACAACAAAGAAGCGCATGCACCCCGGCGTGTTCTGTGACCAGTGTGAAAAGACCATAGTGGGTACTCGCTACACCTGTATGGTATGCCCTGACTACGACATGTGTGACACCTGCTATCAGAGAGTGGGACATCCCGAGAATCACACACTTGTGTTGCGCCCTGTGCCTGACTCGGAAAGTGGTCATTACGGACGTCCTGGGCGGTTTTCTCATTTCACTCCCGAGTATCTGAGTGGTCCCGATAATTTTAACGAACACATGATGCGTATGGGACAAAGTAGCCGTAACATGTACGGTGGATATCCACACGGCCGTGGTGTTCAGTACAACTTTGGAGGTCCCAACATGCAAGGCAGTGCATATATGTTTGGCGTGCCTATGCACAGGGATGTACCAGTCGCTCACCCTGGCTGTACTGGTTGCCCACCTAGACAGTGTAGAGTATGCCAGCAACGCCGTGCCCCACCTCAGGCACGAACTGAGCCTATGACTTTGTTCAACTTTCTAGATACCCTCAGAGGTCGGCAGACAAACGGTAGCGGTGAGCGTAAGGCCGCCGATAACAGGTGTGGAACCAATGTCAATGGTAAGCATGAAGCCAAGACAAGCGGCAAATCTTGCACGGCAAAGGAGGAAGGTTCTAGCGACAATCGCAAATGCTTCAAACCGAAATTGTCCAATGTTACTGTGCGCGTTGTCAATGAGAAGACCCGGCCAAAGGCGGATGAGTTTGTGAAGAAGGCTACAGAGCCTGAGACGCCCGCAAAGGTCGAGCAAACTCCCAAGACAAAGGTCGAGCAAACTCCCAAGACAAAGGTCGAGCAAACTCCCAAGACAAAGGTCGAGCAAACTCCCAAGACAAAGGTCGAGCAAACTAGCGAGACAAAGGTCGAGCAATCTCCGGAGTTAAAGGTCGAGCTATGTCCCGAGAGTGTCGCTGACAGTAAGAGTACCGAACAGACTGTGAGTCCTCCTGACAGCAAGAGTACACAACAGACTGTGAGTGCCCCTGACAGTAAGAGTGCGAAACAGACTGTGAGTGCTGATGACAGTAAGAGCACCCAACAGCCTGTGAGTTCTGGTGACAGTAAAGGTACCGAACATGACCAGGGCGAATTTGTCATAGTGGAAACCGTGCCAGATATTGAAGAACCTTCTACGTCATCTGCTCCCAGCGCGTCTGCTAGTGGAGCTAGTACACCCAAGGAACATCTGGATATCATGCACACGCTATACGAGATGGGGTTCAAAGACCGTTCGCTGAATGCAGCATACATCCGTATGTATGGGTCGGATGTGAGTGAGATCGCCAACCGCTTGAGCGAGCGTAAGAGTTGAGTAATCAGTGTTGGGATTGGTGTACTCGGCCTAGGTTTCATCCTAGGCACGGCACACGAAAGTTTAGATATTGAGAAAGCGCATATGTAAGCGCTGATTATCAATCCCGGTTAGCTGTGTGACTGGGAGGGTAGTAGAGTAGGTCATAATAATAATAAATACATAACACTGAATATGCTTGTACGAGAATTTAAAACAACTTGAATGCTTGTACGATAATTAAAATCAACTAGAACATGCAGACGGTTGATAGAGTGAGCACTCAGGAAGCCTGATGATAATCTATATTTTTATACCTTTGTTTCTGGCCACTAGCGGTAGGCAAATAATAAACGACGTGTTGAGTTCATATCTTCAGTATGCGCGTGTGAATATATACTGCTTGTTGGCACGAGAAGACTACATAGAGAGATACAGTATAATGATGAGTACGCTAAGCTGTTGCGTTCTAACAATTAGTTATGCAGCAATTGATAATGTGCGATGATTATACTAAACACTTGAGTATCAAGACCAGTATGCTTATTCGAGATGAGAAAGGTGTGTGAGTTGTATACTATAAATAAAGAGTGAATTTACGAAACGTACTATTCAGGAGACCTAATAACATATTGATGGTAGCTGACGAAGACAATATTCATATGGCCGAGAAATTATAATACGCATTGCTAATCCCAGGACGTCGACAACACGAACCGACTATATCAAACAGCCTAGCTTGATCAACTATGCACCTGAATATAAACTTCCAGTTGTTGAGCTCAACTAACGCATTTACAAAAGACTCAGTAGACTACGAATATCAGCATTACACTCCGCAGGCGACCGGGTGTAGATCTTCTTTCTCAGTAGTATATCGAACTATATATTAAGACAGTGATGTTGTAGATATATGGTATGTGGTCGTGTGATCTGTTGTTGTACACGTTTTACCAATTCGTGCCCACCGAGTGATTTGAAATAAATATGCAGGTGTCACCGAGTGTTTATCTATCATTTTTTTTGGGGGGGGGTATAATTTGCATGAAATACTTCACGTTAAATTCGCAATTAGGACTGTGCATGGATATCAGTGTACGGATACCAAGTCAACGAACATGAAGGTCTTAGCTTGCCTGCTGCTGCTTAATGCGGGGGCATTAGTGGCTGGGGATGGGGCCTTTATACAGCCGCCTGGGTTCAACTGTACGGTATGTTATACTACACACTGGGCACGAGTAGAGATCTTCAACACAAGCAACCATGTAAACAGTTGGGAACATTGTACAAGTGCTATACTATACACGTATACACACGCTGGGCTCAAGTACATTGAATATCTAGTTGAAGATAGTACGTATGCGTAATCCCAGCAACATTCAGCTTGTGTAGGTTTGATATGCAGCGCCGTGTGTGCAACCGTGTTGAGAGTAGAAGTTCTGTATTTTTGTGTGTACGTGTATGTTTTGTGTATAGATGCAGCTTGTCTTTATTAGAGACCTATCACAATAGAAAATAAGCGATTGTGGAATGGATTGTATGGTTATGTCTTTGTTCCTCTGCCAATTTGTACTTCTATAGAAATGTTTTACATCATAGCAGCTCCGGTTGATGTGTACATCTTTGTAGTCAATCAGACTTGCTTTGAACTGGAATTCACTAGTATTGAATTAAACAGTGACAATTAAGCATATATACAATACTATACGATATATATATATATATATATATATATATATATATATATATATATATAGTGTGTGTATATGTATAGTTTTATATTTAGTTATATATATACATATTGGTTCACTTTTTAAACCACCGTTGCCGCAGATTTGTTTGATCTACACATCCAGTATGTATTTTTTCTGTGCCAGATTCACTTCAATATCCTCATACACCCTTCCCTTCATAATACTATATCCAGTTGCAAGGGATATCGATAGCTTGCGCAGGCTTATCACCTTACAAAATAGTAGTGCTGAGCTAAGAGCCGATTGTGCTCATATAACCCATTGCCTGCGTTGTAACCCTACTGCAGGTGAATGATGCCGACGGTGTGCGTACTCTAATGTCGTGTGTTGCAGCCCCGGGGTCGCTGTCGTTGAACCTCGACATGCGAAATCTCGATAAGGTGGCCGAGGGAGCATTCAAAGGTATTATGAATGGTTGTATTGAGATATTGTGATGTATATCCACAGTTGTTTTGTGATATGGTGATGCATATACTTTGTTGACAGTTGTGCCGGGCCATGTAATGTACTAGTCTACGGACGGATGTTGTAGGGTGTCGGGTCCTTAACACTTTTATATAGTGCAACTTTTGTTACAAATAGGTCAACTTATGTTTTAACGTCAACTTATGTTTTATATATGTCAACTTTTTATAGTATTTCAGCTTATGTTTCCTGCATCCGAGATAGATTATCATACACATAAATTATAGAATTGCTTATTTCTTCTCTCTTATCCACTCCAGCGAGGACACGAATGGCACATACCGTTCACTTTAAGGAGATGTACTATTCCATACGTAGATTAGAACAGCGCTAGAGCCTCGTATGCTCCGCCCTTATTACGGCTTAGACACATAATACACACACTGTATGGTGACGCTAGCGCCTCCCCGCGTTCGCTTCATATAGCATACCTACCAAGAACACGTATCTCTTCCTACACCCTTACTGTTCATTCCGCGCACACGGTCAGTAGCACTGGAGCGTTGCATCACATCCACAGTGTTACTGTCCATGCGCTGGTTGTCTCATCTTTCCCTTGCCTCCCATCCAACGTATCACAGGCCTTACCGTCCCACTGATTGATCTTAGTCACAACAATCTCAAGACACTCCCTGGGAACACGCTCTGTGGCAATGCGACGGGTATGTACGCGTTAGAGAAGGTTGATGTAGGCTGTTTACATACTGATCGCGGGTTCTAGATAATATGTGTATGAGTATGCCATCCTATAGATCGATATAGTATGTGCATTTTCTTACATTCTAGGCCTGTCGGTGTCCAGCACTGCTGCACTCCACACCGAATGCTGGCGCAGGTGGTGTGTATGTACATCCCACACGAGGTGTTATATACGTACATATATCCAAGCTCATCAGTACAACAGATAGTATACATACATATCTCCAAGGTCAGCGACACAACAGATAGCTCCATTACACCCGCATAATTCTTTCTCAAAGGCATCCCAACACTTCACCGACAACACAGGAGCCCAAAGCGTCTTGACGATTGTGCTGGATCACAACTTCCTCTCTACGTTTGATGTGAACACGTTCGCGGGCTGTGCCAATCTCACGGACCTGTCTGTGCAGTACAACGCTGAGCTAAAAGGCCCATTTCCCAACGATATGCTGAAGGACTCTGCGTTGACACTGCAGTTCATACGGATGAGTGGCCATGGTATGACGGTACTACCGGTCGAGTGGCTCGAAGGGCTGGTATGTGGAGAGAGAGACACTGCAGTACAAAAGCACTCGTTTAGCATGACATACGTATATATTTATATATTTATATATATATATATAAGTACGCACACATATATATATGTATATATATAAGTACACATACACACACACACATATATATATACATATATATATATAAGTACGCACACACATATATATATATATATAAGTACACATACACACACATATATATATATATATATATATATGTGTGTATCTGTATGGACATGCATATGGATAAGGATATTTGTAAGTATATGTACATTGATGTATGTATATATATGTATGCATGTATGTTGGCCTGTATGTAGTAGTAGTATGTATGTATGTATGTATGTATAGTATAGTATATATATATATATATATATATATATATATATATATGTGCGTGTGTGTATGTATATATGTATATTTATATCCATATGTATGTATATGTCTTTCTATTTTGATATTGTCTCAACCACTCACTCACTACAGATGTACAGAAGTTTTATGCATCTCTACAAACACCTCTCACATCTAGTAGCCACGTATTACAATAAACCACCCTAATATCAGGAAGCACTACACGCCACCGATACGTGGTAGTCACACCCTGTAGTACTCTATAAATACACACAGGAGGGTCTGCACGAACTAGTCCTTCGAGAAGGGCCTCTAACGACAATCACAAACCCACTACCGAAGGCATTGGGGACCAACCTTACACGACTAGACCTATCACACAACCGCATCAACACACTACCTAGCGCGTGCATGATCAGCAACCTCACCAAACTGGAAGCCTTGCAGCTGCGGGCAAATGCCATAGCGGATGTGAAGTCTCTGCGGTTTGACCACACCCTGTCCGTGTCCACTGTAGATCTCACAATGAACAAAATCACCACGCTGGAGGAGGGTGTGTCTGACAGACTATGATAAGAGTGTGTGTGTGACAGACTATGATATGAGTGTATGTGTGACAGACTGTGATATGAGTGGGTGTCTGACAGACTGTGATATGAGTGTGTGTCTGACAGACTATGATATGAGTGTATGTCTGAAAGACTGTGATATGAGTGTGTTTGAGATGCGTGTACTGTATGTGTCCGCCTTGCCGTGTATATTGGTTATGCATTTGGCGTATATCAGTAATCGTGTCTGTGCAGGCTGTGCGTGTGTATGTATGTGTGTGTATGTGTGTGCGTGTCTGTGTGTCTGTGTATGCCCATATTATATCATCACGCAGACACGTACACCCGCATCCGAATACATGTCACATATACTAACACACCCCAACCGACTATTACACGGTGCTACTTGCACAGGGTGTCTGTACCGTCTGAATGCACTGAAGGGTTTGCGGTCGCTTGACTTGAGTGGCAACGGACTGCACACCATTGCTCAGAGTGTCTTTGGAAACAGCTCATGGCCCCATCTCACCACACTCAACCTCGCGCATAATGCTCTCACGCGGATCGACATACCTCTGTTTAAAGGTATGTGTGTGGGGTATCGATTGATGTTTTGATGTCAATTGTTGTATATATATATATATATATATATATGTTTGTGTGTATACAAGACGGCGGAATGTATGCATTTGTATAACCTTTGGAGATTAGATGTTAACCCTAGCGCGGGCGAAGGTATCAGCAAGAGGCAAGGCAGGTCGCAGCGACTAATACAAAACACGTTGATCTCCCACAACCCAGGCCTTGGAAACTTGACAGATCTGGTGCTAAGTTACAATCAGATCGCCGTCATCGAACCCACCGTGTGGACTGGGTTGGCCCATTTATTGGCCCTGCGATTGCGTGGTAATGCCCTCAAGGCACTACTGAATCACACGCTCGACGATGTACGGCCTACACTGGAGACACTCGACATGTCTCACAACCAGATCCAATCTGTGGCCACAGGTATGTACAACTCACACAGCAATGCCGATTGGACCGCTACATAGGCCATACGCACCATCCTGTTCTTGTGTGTTTTGTTCCGTTCGTGTGGTGTGTTGTCTTTGCTTGATTGGTTGATACATTGGAATAGCGCTATACAATTCACATTATAAGTATATGTATTGTATATGTATTTTATATTACCCATTCTAAGTATATTTATTGCATATGTATTGTATGATACACATTCTAAGTATATGTATGGTATATTACCCATTCTCAGTATATGTGTTGTATATGTATTGTATAGTACACATTCTAAGTATTGTATATTACTCATTCTAAGTATATGTACGTATCAGGCTCACCCATTCGCGAACCTCCAACGGTGTACGTGACGGGCCAGCTCATCAATGCACCCCACCCACTCGAGATGCGCCACTTTGCATCGGTGGGTGATAAGTTGTTTTGTTGTCTACATTGTACAGTGGCTCTGGCAGTATTGCATACGGGTAGTTGTGTGGCAGTGTATCTATATGCCTATATCTGTGTATATAACCAGTAATCTATATATAACGTGGTCATCGGCTTATATCCGTGTATATAACCAGTAATCTATATACACGTAGCCATTGGCTTATATCCTTGTATATAACCAGTAACCTATATATACGTAGCCATTGGCCTATATCCGTATATAAACCAGTAATATTTATATATACGCAGCCATTGGCCTATATCCGTATATATATCCAGTAATCTATATATATGTAACCATTGACATGTCACTCTGTCAAGCCTTGCCTCTCTACTTGGCACTCAGTCCATCATACTGCCTTTAACCTAGCACCACCTTATACCGTCCCATTCAGACAGTATACTCAGCTTTAGCGCATCCTCATTCACTAACGTCTCATATGTTGTACTGCATGCTTTCTCACTCTCTCGCTCACACACCCACACACTCTCTCTCTCACTCTCTCACAAACTCACTCACTCTCACACTCACTTTCTCTCTCGCACACGCACACTCACTCACTCTCTCTCTCTCTCTCGCACACACACACTCACACACACTCTCTCTCTCTCTCGCACACACACACTCACTCACTCTCTCTCTCTCTCTCTCTTCTCCATTGTTTGGAACAGACGTCTTCGTGAACATGACTAAGCTGCGCACACTCGACTTGTCCTTCAATAACATTGCATCACTGCCCGACGATACGTTTGGCTGCTGTGGTATGTTGTGAGTCCTGGTGTAAGGGTGTGATACCTAGATATGGATGTTGTGTGTATGTATGTATATCAGGACTTGATGTATTCTAAATCATGTGTATGTTGTGCTCTATACATGCATGTGGTTGTTCGGGTTTTGTGGATATCCGCGTAGTGCAACGTAGCACTGAAGTCTCTTATAGCTGGCTCTCCCGAGCAACCCACTGTGTCGCTGCAGGTTGTTGGCGGAGTTTCCTTACAATGCGCATCCAGTCCTCTTTATTTGTCCATTATCATCGCAGCCGTAGGCCCTTTTTGCATGTACCTTCGTAGACTCAGGCTCCCAAAAGTTACTGAATGGATAATCAACATGTACTCATTCTATAGCGTGTCATCGGAAGAGCTCACATCTATTCCTCACTAAATGTCCTCTATCTTTCAACACAGGTTCGAATCTGGTGGACGTTCGGTTGGAGAGCAATCGACTGACATCTCTAAGTGAACAACTGACACATGCGTTGTTACCTGCGCATATGACAATGTTCAGTATAGCACGCAACCCATTGTCGTGTTGCACACTGCGACCGTGGCTGGATGGACGCTTTAAGGAGATAATGACGGTGTGTATCTGTATACATACATGATCACATATTCATTAACAAGGAGATAACGTCGGAGTGTATCTGTATACATACATGATCACATATTCATTAACAAGGAGATAACGTCGGTGTGTATATGTATACATACATGATAACATATTCAGCAACAAGGCTCATGTGTACACACATACATGCTCCTCGCTTCATCAGAGTGAGCAAGGTTTGCGTATTATACGATTATGCGTGTATCAGCTTGTACAGGTGTTGAGCTGATCATCTGCACATATACCGACCCCTTTCTGTCTACTCCTTGCCTGTACACCCCCTCCTACCTTCAATACCATATCTCGTTGAGACTTACATACCTACGTTGACACCACCCTCCTTGGCACATACATACCTACTTTGTCATCACACTCCTTGGCACATACATACCTACCTTGTCATCACACTCCTTGGCACATACATACCTACCTTGCCATCACACTCCTTGGCACTTACATACCTACCTTGTCATCACACTCCTTGGTACTTACATACCTACCTTGTCATCGCACTCCTTGACACTTACATACCTACCTTGGTGCTTATATACCTACCTTGACAACCTCTATACCTACTCAGTCGACAACGAGTGCATCTAGCCCCGACTACAATTGCACAGACATGGGCGAGGTTTATACTACGCCGTCGTTTGGGTCCAGCAACGACACAGCGCTTCACCTCGAGTGCACCTTCGGCAGATATGGCCCCTGGACAGAATGGGGATGTCAGTGTGAGGATGGGTTCAAGGAGGTGTCTAAGTGAGTGGTCGTTGTCTTTTCTGTGGGTGTGGGATGACACTGTGTACAGGACGTGTAGGTGCTGGTTTATAACATGTGCATTGGACTGAGCTTTAAATTTATGATAGGTGTACAAGTGAGTGTACATTACCTTTACTGTGGGTGTGGGATGACACTGTGTGCAGGACGTGTAGGTGCTGGCTTATATCATGTGCATTGGATTGAGCTGTTGATTTATGATAGGTGTCTAAGTGAGTGTTCATTGTCTTTCCTGTGGGTGTGAGATGACACTGTGTACATGACGTGTAGGTGCTGGCTTATATCATGTGCGTTGGGTTGAGCTGTAGAATCATGATACACATACCTTACCGGGATAGCATGGTCACGGGTGTCCTAGTGGCGTGGTGTGTATGCATACACTAATAGTGATGTGTATATAGGTCATAACGACTACTATTCACTGATAATACATTTTGTATTGATACCTATTGGGTGTACACAGGCAATATCGGCAACGGGATTGTGACACACCCGCGCCCTTGCACGCCAGCAAAGGCTGCATCGCCTCAGGACAGGGTGACGCCTTTGAGAAGGGCGAAGCGTGTGACTGTGCCACTGTGGGTGAGTGGGCCATGGTACAACACGCGGTGATATGTGACAAGTGTATACAATAACAGAACAAGGCTGTGGTGTGGGATAGATAAGATGTATCTTGGGTAACCATAGCAACGCACACGCATGGATTAGCTTCACAGGATACCTGTACAGGATTATGTGTGTATAGTAGGCCGTGCAAGGTGTGGCGTGCGTGGATAACGCAACTGTCTACCCCCGCTGCAGAATGCAACAACCTGTTGTGAGTTCTCGTTACTATACCACAGTGCTAGTCTCATATTCATCACTTATGGCATCTAGCTACAATACCAACTACACTACCAGCTACAATAGTAACTACACTACCAGCTACAATAGTAATTACTCTACTAGCTACAATAGTAACTACACTACCAGCTACAATAGCTATTGCACTACCAGCTACAATAGTAACTTACCCTACCAACTAGCATGATCACGAGTTCCACCGCGTATGGCCTCCCAGCCCCAAGCATACGAACCAATATGCTCATTAGAGTTAAATAATATATACTAACATAATATATAGTATAGCCATATAACATAGTAACTAATTACCGCTCCACTTACAATCCCTTTCCTCGACTTCAGTGCCAACTACCACGACAATGGCATCAACCGCTACTACACAGACACAGACAGGCACGTCCGCACCCACGGAAACGGCACCCATACCTACCCCGATAGCCGCCACACCAACACCCTCGCCTCAGCCCACTCACCATAAGAGCTCGGGATTCGTGGTATGAGTGTTTGGGTGTAGTGCCACATGCGTGGTGAGTCTGAGGGTTTTAGTATCATTTGTACACGCCACTAGAGGGTTGGGTTTGTAGTGTTTGGATGTGTTGAGCACGCCTAGTGGTGCATAACTGTTGTGTCGACTTTGTGACTGAAAAAAAAACGTGTTAGTTCAAGGCGAATTGTATTAGTTCGAGTGAAAGAAACAGTATTAGTTCAAGGCGTATTGTATTAGGTCGAGTGAAAAAAGCAGTATTAGTTCAAGGCGTAAAGTACCTGTATGGGTGATAGCGGGTAGTGTACGAATGCGAGCGGATGTATTAAGGGCCTGTGAGCGTATGATGAGTTGTGGACACTTCGGCCACACCTTGGTAATACTCTAAAGCTCCAATTCAGGTCCATTGCTTGAGATTACAAGAGTATGGATGTTCACAAGTCATCTTAAAAACTTTGTATGATTCGTCGTAGAAAGTGTTTTTCTTGTGTAAATCCATGCCTCTGTCTCTAAGAACGTTGTCCACATCTACAGTCCTTCCTTTCCTCTTACGGTACAAAGGCATATGTATTCACTACTTTCTCGACGCATATTACTATCACCACATACACCATATACGCATATTACTATCACCACATACACCATATACGCATATTACTAACACTACATACACCATACACCATCCCCTCAGAGCACCATCAAGTCCATGTTCCTGTCCCTGCTGTTCGTAGGCCTGGTGGTGAGTGTCATGTATCTCATACACAACTGGGCTATAGTGCACGGACACGAGCTTTCACTGTCAGACCTCTCTCCGCGTAACCTCCTGGCGACGCTACAGACACTGTTCCATTCGATCACCCGACAAACTACCAGTGCCACGCCCCGGCCAGCGGCGGCCAACGGCTACACTGCCGTGCCTGGGGGTGGCTATGGAGGTATGTGTTGGGTTGGATCACACGTGTGTGAGTGAGTGCTAAAGGTGCTCAGGCGAGGTTATTGCATGTTCTGATGACCGCATGCACACCTGTGTGTATGTGCCGGTTATGGTTTATGTCGTCTGATGGTTTATTTAGTTTGGGTTATGTCGTCTGATGGTTTATTTAGTTTGGTTTATGTAGTCTGATGGTTTATTTAGTTGATACAACTAGGGATTGAAGATAGGGAAGCCAGAGGGCTGTGCAGGCTTTGTACGTTGTGGTATATCTGTCGAGTTCCATCTTTGTCTGGCTATGCCACTTATTAGTATGAACCAAACTATTGGGTACTAGGATGTAAACTTCGACCGATCACAACTAGCCTATATATCTATTGTTCTTGATTCTATATATCCATTCTTCTTCGATTCTTCCTATCCTAAAACCCTGAAACCCTAAAACTCTAGCATGGTCAGTATGAACTATGAAGTTCAAGGAACAGGACGTCTACAATGTACTGTAGCATTTACTAAAATAGAGTGTACGTCACAGATATGCATGTATACATGCATTCAATTTATAGCTTATAACCCTATACTACAACACCATATACTAAAACAATATACACTACAACACCCTATACTACAACACCCTATACTACAATACTATATACTACAACACCCTATACTACAACACCCTATACTACAACACTATATACTACAATACCCTATACAACCACAGGAGCTTCGTATACGGATTCCTCGGGCATGGACAACAGCTTCAGCGCAGCGGCCGACCGACAATACCAGCGCATTGTAAACGATACTTAACGTCTGTACGCTAACACTGCCATTCCCCAAGGCACCAAGCCAGCACCACGCCCATCTAGTAGGGTCAGTTAGAGTCTCGTATGTCCCTGATAGCGTAGGGTCAGTTAAAGTCTCGTATGTCCCTGATAGCGTAGGGTCAGTTAGAGTCTCGTATGTCCCTGATAGCGTAGGGTCAGTTAGAGTCTCGTATGTCCCTGTTGGTGTATCGGTATGCCCCTGATGGTGCGGGTGGGGTGGATGGGTGTACAGTAGACTGGTTGCCAGGTCAGTGCTGAGCGTGTGACGGCGGTTTGTCAGGATTCGGCATATACAGGTGGCGAGTGTTGCATGCTTTCCATACAGACGTATAGATGCAGACACACGCGTGCATACACACAGCTATGTAACATGCCAAACCTTTACCAAGAGTCCGTAGGCTAAAGGTCACGTACGATGCTGTGTGTGTGCCTGCGCAAGTGATTCTAGGCGTCGTACAGTGAGGTGGAGTGGAAGATCTGCGGAGGTTATCCGTAGGCGCAATCAGTGGAATATCGACCGGAGCAAACATGACTCATAGTTCAGTGCAAGTGTTTACACGCCTCACACATGCACCCAAGACCGTAAACCCTGGACCCTAACACACCTGCGCAATGAGAGTTAAAACGACCTATCCACTGCCCCAGGCGCCACACGTGCAAACAGTGAGATGCCCAGGGCAAAGGTTCGGCGCAAGGGCTCGGTTTCCTGCACTGTGCATACCAAACAAACTCAACCGTACACAACGAATCCTGCGAAGTAGCAGACCATTCGCAGAGGTTTGCCTATGTGCGCACGTCGAATGCAAACTCAAGAGTCCTCATCTCCGGCAAGCCATCGTGTGCGAAGGCATCACTCGACATCGGCATATGCGATGCTCCGAAGAGATGGATGTGTCTTGACCTTCATCGGTACCTTGGATCGCTCTGCTAATGATTTATTGGCTTTGCCCCAACCCTGCACATACCGTAGGCAGCGGTTATCATTCCTAGCGTTCGTGAAGGTACTTACGCCGAGGTGATAGTGCAGTTAGAGCGGAACCTATTGCCCTACCAACGCCACTTTCAGCTCCGATGGCGCACTTCGGTACACAAGTTGTCGGTGATTTGATTGGGAGACCTTATCCACCAGACTCACAGACAGGCAAACAAGCACTCGCGACGTACAGGAGGGGGCCAGAGCCAAGTAGCACGTGGGAATAGACTCTGGATCAACCGATTGGCTGTTGAAGTATCTTCCCCTGAATCAATCGATTGGTCATTAAAGCATCTTCCCTTGAATCAACCGATTGGCTATAACTAACGTATCTTCATTTGTCCTGTCCGCGCGTCAGACAAGGCGCACTTCCCCAGTGTTCTCAAGTGTGACGCAGTGAGGTATGGGCTACCCAATGAAAGGTACAAGTCATTTGTGAGGGAGAATTGTAGTGTCATATAGGTATCATACAGCCTGTGCCAAATATGGGTATCATACAGCCTGTAACCATATACGCAGCAGATACACTTAGGGGGTTGACTTGAAAGTTGCTGAGGTGATCGTGAAACACACTTCGGGTTGCGAACCCAACATTGCTAAAGCCTGCTGCGCTGCAAGTAGAATGGATTGTCTGTGACTGACTTATTAATTAGATGGCCTGGGTTTTAGTACAACCATAAATTCTTTGAAATATAAATAGGCACCTATAGCACACACACCCGAATACCCCAGGTTCTCATACTTTATTGTTGATAGTGCGATTTAGACATCCACAAAGGTGACGAATAGCCTTTGGCCTAAAAACTACGTTCAGGTTATGTACAAACTCAGTTTTGGACCCAGAAGTTTTTTATTTTGACTCTGCTTTGTCAACGTTTGGTATTGACGCACACAGGTGTCTTATTAACCACTGGTAACCCTACTAGCTATACAATTTGACCATAGTGGTAGGCTATCCTTCGAACACGCCCTGAAGCATAGTGTGGTGCACAAGAGTGCGCTGCGGCACCCGCAATAGAGCCATGAGTCATGACTCAAGTGTCAACTCAGTATGTTACTCACACGAAGTCATCAACTACAATGCCAACCACCAAACTCTCACAACTGAGTGATGGTGAATGGGCGGGCTATGCCAGCGCTTACAACAACGCTTCCACTAGCTACATAACATATTCACGTCATAAGTACGCGCCTTAAAAACTACCACAATACCTTGTGCACATGTAGCTGAACAAAGACGAGTTTCTGGATAGCATGGTGACTAATATGTTTTATGTCTACTGCGCATACGTTTCGCATGATTACATATTATCTCACCAACGATGGCGTGCACACGTAAGTGTCGATCATGCCCTGAACTCGCCGTCTTCCATGCATAGACAAACGAGTGCTTCTCCTCTCACGCAGCTACAACTATACGTTCAAGTCTGCCTGTATGGCCCATATCCGCCTGTTGCGTGTGTTTGCTTCATATACACACCCACACATACATACAGTGCACTCTAACCTTCTTACAACCGCTTCATACATACATTCTCACACGCGTACGGGACACACTAGCCTTCCTACAAACGGGTCACGCCTATCATGCTGTCTCTGGTCACCAGTCGCAGTAACTCCTCATCAGTACAGTTCTCAGAGCCGCTGGGGCGCTCAGGAATCACCAAGTACCGAACATCGGCTGTGCTGTCGTGCACTCGGATGGCAACGTCCTTGGGTATGTCTGTGCCAAATTCCTTCAAAACCTTTTGTGTGAGGGGACAGGAGGGATTCTACGTAGTGAGAGTGCTTGCGAGAGACTGGTACGGCAGAGTTGTAATTAATCAAAAATGGCGACAATGCACGACCATACACATACATATCGACAATTAAACACACCCACACACACATATATATATATATATATATATATATATATATATATAGTATATATATATATATATATATATATATCAGATACATGTATATACAATTGAAAATCGATGAAACAGCAGTACATAAGCCATACCTTGCGGGGTTCGAAAACTATACGTGATCGATAAGATCGAGATTTGTACCAGGGTGGACTGAGACCCAACAATGCGATGGGATAGCATGAGCAGAGTGTGCACACCACCACATTGTGTGCGGTAGGCGTGTTTGCCACCACAATCACCTGAGAATGGGTAGTAGAAATCCAGATGAGTTTATATATATATATATATATGTTATATGTGTGTGGGGGAGGGGGGCAAGATTGAAATAATACACACTTGCCTTAATACCCATTAGAAAAATGTGAGACCGACTGCAAACACACACATTCAGCTTTACGACCCAAACGCACCCTTGCAGGTAAGACCTCTCCCTCCTTCGGTATACCCTCCTCAGCCATTGGTGCTTTAGAGTCGGTCAGTAGACGTTGCTTGAATGCCTCGTCCTTCCAGGCACGCACCACCAGACGTGCGCCTGCGTAGTCCTGGCCGTATCCGTCGATCACCTCAATCTCTTTGCGCAAATCCTGAGTGTTTGGTGTGGTTTGTCGTTGTTTAGAGTTGCATCAACTTGTTGGGCAAGCTAGAGAGATTTCCAGCGAACGTGACAGGGATCAAACGAAGGAAATACGCTCGTACTTCAGCGGTGGTTCATTAAATTAACATAAGTCCAGAGCTCGAAAGGGAAAGCGTCTGTATTTCCCCTTAACCACTATGAATGCAAATCCTTCCAAGTATCTTCGTCATACTGTGTGTACCAGTCGACCGTTTGCATAGATACGCTCAACAGATGTGCATTGCAGATGTGTACTAAATGCTCTAGATCCATCGCACCGATAGTTCCGACTCACCTCAGCGGTGAAGATATTCTTTTGAATGAAGACTTTTTCGAGAGTGTCGGCTAGTGGTGCCAGTGGTGGCAAAGGTCCCTCCCGGTCTACAGCTGAAGGGACATACAGCGAAGCGAATCAGGGTTTAGATAAAGTTATATAGAACTATCTAGAGGTGTGTAGATTGGGCTGGTTTAAATGAAGGTATAAAAAACTATCTAGAGGTATGTATGATGGACTAGTTTAAATAAAAGTATATATAACTATCAAGAGGCGTGTTCTTTGGCCTGAGAAATTTGCGAATACTGACCAACAGAGAATTCAAGTGTGCATATACTTGTTCTTATAACGCTGATGTGCACTGCAGGTTAATGTAGCGAAGGAGATGCATTTGGTACATTTACCATCCGAGCGCAGAATTAAATAGAGACGTATACGTGGCATGGAATGTTTTTTATATACAGGCCGTTAAAGTGCTTCCGTGTACATATACTTGTTCTTATGACGCTGATGTGCATTACAGGTTGATGTAGCGAAGGAGATGCAGTTGGTACATTTACCATCCGAGCACAGAATTAAATAGCGACGTATACGTGACATGGAATGTTTTGTATATACAGGCCGTTAAAGTGCTTCCGTGTAAATATACTTGTTCTTATGACGCTGATGTGCACTGCAGGTTGACCGTACATGTCTGGTCGTATGATTTGCGTGAATGGCTACACATAAGGAATACGCCACATGGTGTGGGCCCGCCCATACAAATAGCTCCCATGACAATAGGCCATGAACAATATGATGAAAGTAAGAGCACACTGGTTAAAACATGGTCCACAGCGCGCCAATACGACAAGCCGGAAATACATTGAGTCCATGACATCTTAAATCATACCCTCTCCCCCACACCCAAGACACCGTAAATCACCCCCCCACACACACACCCAAGACACCGTAAATCACCCCCCCCCCCCCGCCCAATCTGGTACCGTCGGCGTACCTGTTTGCTCCACTACGCTCCTCTGCTCATGAACATGGTCTCCGTGATCATGCGCGTGCCCGTCGCCATCTCCGTGTGAGTGCGAATGCGCCTCACTATCGTCATGAGCGTGTGCGTGTGAGTGTTTCATCAAGTCCACGTGGGCGTGCGAGTCCGCTGCAGTGCCGTCGTTGAGCCACATGTCGTACACGTCTGCGTCTAACGTATCATTCGCACCGCCTAAAGGAAGTGAAGTGTGAAGAATTTAGTTCCAGCTGCGCAGGTACCGTGACTTAGTAATGTCGATCTATTGCAGGTTCTGAGTGCGTGGGATACTACAAAAGCTATATATATATATATATGTAGTAATAATAAATACACAAATCATGATGGGACTACCCATTATCAGCCCTGCGTCGACTGCTGAAGGTTCATTTCCACACACCAAAGGGCTGTCAATAGTAGGTAGGTGTATGGCCTCATCCGCCGTACAGATACACTCCTGTCAGATGCGTACCGTCACAGCATCACATTTTCTGACGAGAAGACACGTACACATAGACATTCACTCTCGTAGTCCCGTGCACATACCCTCATACGCCTTCCATATATGTGCTTGGTTGAAGCGAACCTTATACAGCGTCTGTGTCAGTGTATAGTCACTGCCTAGCGCTTTCAGCTCGGGTGTGCCATACTCGCCCAAGACTTCGATAACCTCACCGCGTGCACCGAAGATGTATCCGGGTGTGCGCAAATGAGGCTTTCTCCTGCATTGGCAGTATAATAAGAACCCATTCTGGTATGAGATCACTACTTGCTACGTCTCTAATCCATTCAGTAGCTAAGATATAGTATTTTTTTGCGAGCGGGCCGCTATAAAGTATATGTATACAATTGGATATGCCAGGGAGAGAACGCTGTGGCTATTACCACGCTCGAGATTAATCACGCACGTGTAATCTCACACGTAAGTTTGCGCATCACACGAGCGTCTAATAAAACACACCCGACATCCCCAAAACAGCGCACAGGCCACATCATATGCTACAACGCACTCACACGAAAGTGTGTTCCAACGATTGCTTGCTAAGTGAGATTCATTACTACGGTACCACGCTGGTCACATGTAAGAGACAGGGATATCATATGCTACAACACACTCACACGAAAGTGTGTTCTAAAGATTGCTTGCTAAGTGAGATTCACTTGTACGGTGCCTCGCTGGTCACGTGTAAGAGATAGGGGTATCATATGCTACAACACAAACACACGAAAGTGTGTTCTAAAGATTGCTTGCTAAATGAGATTCATTAATAAGGTATCACGCTGGTCACGTGTAAGAGATAGGGGTATCATATGCTACAACACCCTCACACGAAAGTGTGTTCACTCACACTAAAGCGTGTTCTAACGATTGCTTGCTAAGTGCGATTCATTAGTACGGTACCACGCTGGTCAAGTGTAAGAGACAGGGGTATCATATGCTACAACACACTCACACGAAAGTGTGTTCTAAAGATTGCTTGCTAAGTGAGATTCATTAGTACGGTGCCTCGCTGGTCACGTGTAAGAAATAGGGGTATCATATGCTACAACACACTCACACGAAAGTGTGTTCACGCACACTAAAGCGTGTTCTAACGATTGCTTGCTAAGTGCGATTCATTAGTACTGTACCACGCTGGTCAAGTGTAAGAGACAGGGGTATCATATGCTACAACACACTCACACGAAAGTGTGTTCTAAAGATTGCTTGCTAAGTGAGATTCATTAGGGTTTCAGACCGCCGTGATCACGACAGGCATGTGCAGATGGACTCACCAGTGCGTGGAGAAGTCCTCAGCCTTTACAGTCACTGTATCGCCGACGGCAAAGCGTGGAGCTATGTAGGTAACGCTTGTATCTACGCCCATCGCCTGGTACAGATCAGTGACGGCGAAGATGTGCCGGTCAATGCACTGGCTGAAGGGAAGATGGCCAATACAAGTGCAAAACTTCAGATGAACGAAAGTGTAGCACCTCAGCTAGAAGAAAGTACAGCACTTCAACTGCAAGATGCGCCGAAAGCGATGGTGAACTCGTACCGAACTCAGCCGCACTGTTGGCCCACACACACTGGCGACTCACATTGAAGTGGGTGCACGTGTACTATCGCCGTGATCCGTGTATGCAGATCAGTCAACCAAATGCACTAAGTCACGGTATGAAGAGTAGTCAGCACTCGTGCAGGGAGGATGGATTATATGTACACGAGATAGTCAACCCCATGACACCATGGGCAGTTGTTCTGGTGTACACTACGCATGACACGAGAGTAAAGTGCTAGCAGCACAACGACACACGTCCGTAGGACACATAGTGGGTTGTTAATTCGGCCAGATCGAGTAGTCCTAGTGAAACACCGAATAAAATTATCCGTACAAGTGGACATGTATTTGGGTGAACCCCTCGTGAAACAGTTTCCGGCATCGTCGAGCATACAGCTGTAGGTACAGAATAAGTTCTGTAAACATGTACAGACAACTAACTATGCGTGTATGCACATAATGCCTGCACAGTATTTATGAACCACTGGCACTATATACCTGCATACACTCACTCAAGGTGTGGTACTAGGCAACTGCTTATTGATGATGGTGACGTCTGTATGCTTGTTGAACGCATACCGTGTAATAGACGAGGCCCACTTCTCGTAGTACGTGGCGTCCGCATACACCTCATCTTCAAGCGACTCTACACCCACCCGAAGTTCCTGAGAGAGGGCCAGGTAGGTAGGTCAGGTGTGTGTTAGAAGAGAGCTTCAGGTGTAGACGGGTTGAGAGTAGCCAGTTGTTGTATTCAGATGCTTTGAACACGCACGTCTACTGCAAGCTCATGTACTTGTGTGTGCATTCCGCTGTGATTCTGTATGTACAGTTGCCTTGGTTACATGAGGTGGGCTGTTGACTGTTTGGGAGAGTCATCCGACGCACAAGATATATGAGCTACGTTTGCACTCACTCAGGCTGTGTACAGTAGCTCTGTCTGGTTAAGATGGCTCAAGAATACTGAGTATAGCTGCTGCCTGCTATATTGTATCGAACTCGACGCGGTAAAATATTACGACTTTATAGAACACGGTTCTTCCACAATATTCAACACATTTGACCAGTAGGTACGCGAACAAGCCGATACAGAATCACTCAATAGGTGACAGTTGAGTGGCATGTCACTCATAACTACACCCAAATGTAGCCAACAACAGACGCAGCAGGAATCAATGGAACAACTAAAATGGCTGGAGCATAAAGCACCGGGCCCCATACACGTGATGGAACGAGGTCATTGCTTTCAGCGAATGTCACTACACTTTCGATAGGCATGTTAATCAGTCAGTGATGCCCATTGACACACTCACAAGCACACCCATACTTACGTCAGTGGTCATCAGTCCTCGTTTGGCTATCAGCTGGAACATCGCGTGCACCTGTGTACCAACAGTGGGTCAAAACCATCATCGTGAGGTGATGCTAGGAACAATGAGCAGGGTATAGGGCCGTTAAAAGTTTGGGATATAAATCAGACACCACACATTTGTCGCGACACTGAACCATGAACTGGAGCGATATAGACTGTATGGCTCATAGATAGACAGCATGGCTCATGGGTATAGGGTGACACAGGTTCACTGGTCCCTTGGTTTTTCTATCGTTTGAGTCCAGCTGGGATCGCCGAATACGTGATATTCTACTTCACATCTTCACTATCGTGTCTCTAGTAAGCACGCACACGCACCACGTAAGTTCGATTGAGGCGGATGTTCGCGATTGCATAACAAGTATTGTGAATAGCACACACTTACCTTCCTCTCCCAGAATGCTGTGGGGGGCTCTTCCAGATCGATACTCTGATTGTATGCCTCTTTACACGACCCTCCCGCATCATGCACGCCCAACATTCCTGGTTTAGCCTCCGCCGAGCCCACTAATAGACAAGACGTAGATGAATGGTGTACATAAGATTGGCTAGAACCGCTCTAGCCCACTTTATCACCGAGAACCGTTCTAGCTAACTATATAAGCGCTTCCTGATGGAAATAATGCATGTATTCATTCTATACGAAACGATTTTGCTAATCGAATGTTATAGCCGTATTTTGATGGTAACAAGGTATATGTAATAAGGAGTATACAAGATCACATGTCACTCTTGCTAACTATAGAAATGAGGTCAGAGAGTCACCATCAAAAACATTAGAAGCGTGTCACCGCTCTAATTCCCACGCATGGTGTGCATCGACATACGCAAATTAAGGTTTGTAACCAGATAAAGGGGTGAGGGATGTTAACATGCCTGACCGTTCGATGAGAAGAAGTGATCAAATGCATTTCGTGTGTGAACTGTAGGACAGGCAAGTACTCGTGGAGCAGCAAGCCTGATCATTCTATCGATGGCTCGATAATACTCACGGGACAATGAACACCTCGAAATATCAGACAGTGGTGATCGTGATATGCCAGCAGTACCGTATTAACGTGTGTACCACACAATTATGTACATGAGCAACGCTAACTATGGAAATGTCAAATATGACACTATTCTACAGTATGTTTTAGGGTTAGACAACCTGAAGCGCGAGCGTCGTTCAACCAATACTTACCCTCAGACGGGTGCTTTGCACTCTCCTTATTGTCGCCGACCATCACTCGCTGATTGTCCACTTACGTATCGAACAAACTTTGACCTCTAGAACTAGATACTGTACTCTCATCGCTACTTACAACAGCTTTTGTTTACTTTTCACTTTTTGAGGGTCTCTCAACACGAACAACATAGTCCGATTTTCATAGCCCATTTTAGCCTTTTGAGAGTAAATTTTCTTTTAAAACGATGTGTGCGACATCGGGTTGGACCTCAGACTCAAGAGGGTTTTTGTTTTTCATGACAGCCTTCTTGTTCTTTTTTCAGGTTATGTACAACTGCATTTTTGTATTTTGGGCTATATGATATACCATAGCTCTCTAAATATAACATACAGCAGCAGTATAAGTAGGATAAAGGTACACAGATGAAACGAAGCAGGCTGACAAAAGCGATTGCAATCGTGTCGAAACAGAACCATGCTTTTGCCTGTCTCGTTGATCTCTATTTGAAAGCTGTACGTAAAAGCGATGCTGAATATACTGCTGCTGTTCTTCAAGTATCTTTTCAAGTACTACTAATTCTACAAACTACAATACTTAAATGCGAATTGGTGCTCAATACACCCGAGTATTTATATACATGTACCTTTATTTTTTTTGTTTTTTAACAAAGAACCACCTGACAAAGCCAGTCCTGCTTTGAGTCATTGGCCTGACTTCGTTTGAGCGATTGTTCTACTAGCGCTCGCTATTCATATATAAAATTCGTGTCCGTAACAACAATGTAATATGTCCCGTTCCGAAACCTCATCCGACGCATGCGCGGTATTCGTTGACCACTGGTCTCTCTTCTTAAGCCAGCCCTGCTTTGAGTCAAAGATCTGACATTCCTTTGAGCGTTTGTTCTAGCGCTCGCTATTCATATATTAACTCCCGTGTCCGTAACAAAAATGAATTACGCCCCGTTGCGAATCTCGTATTCGTTGACCACTGGTTTCTCTCCTTCACTATTCCTATTTGCGCTCTGTCAAACGATTGGCGATCTCGCTGATGTCTGAACCATACATACGAATGTATGCAGCATTGAGAGAACGGTCGGTGAAACCCATATCATACAACTTGTGCATAATATCCAGATTCTTCTCGTTACCCTTTGCGGTAGTTGCACCAGCGCAATCAGCAGAGGACGAATTTTCATATTCATCATCCTCTACCTCTGCGACCGATTCTACTACCATGCACTCCTCTTGTCTAGGGGAGGCAGTAGTTGTCGTAGTTCTCTCAGGCACAGACTCGGTCTCCACAGATTCATTCTTCTCAGAAGCGACCTCAGCAGACTTCGCAGGCACACTAGTAGCATCGGCAGTTTTCTGCTTATGGCACTCCTTCTTCTCCGGCTTGCCGCATTTCTTACCGCTAGGTTTAGCCATAGCTTCGTACCCGCTATTGCCGCGACCTTGCTGAGAGAACATGGCATTCATAAAGGACGCGATAGGGTCCATTCCGGGAGCAGGTGGTGGAGGAGGAGGGCCTCGACCACCACGACGTCCGCATGGGCCACTCTGAGGTCCTCCGAAATGGACCTCCGGGCCTCCGAAATGGACGTCTGCGCCACCAAACATTCCCCCAAACATATTGGGAAGACCGTCAAACACGTGAGGACCGCTACTGAACATATGAGCAATTGGTGGTCCACCTGGCATCATGTGGGGGGGACGAGGGCCGAAGTGCTGGAAATGGGGGGGAGGGGGAGGTGGGTGTGGATGACCCTTGCCGTGATGAGGGGGCCGAGGGTGACCACGGGGAGGGGGGTGTGGGTGACCGTCGCCGTGGTGAGGGGGGGGGTGTGGGTGACCGTCACCGTGGTGAGGGGGGTGTGGGTGACCGTCACCATGGTGGCGATAGCGTGGGTGACCCTTACCATGGTGGCGATGGCGAGGGTGACGAGGTCCTTCCTGTGGACCGTAATTCCATGGGCCTCGACGACTGCGCTGTTGACGCAAACGAGGTAGACGAAGCATCAGTAGTGCGTGAGACTCGTCATGACTTTCAGTCTGGAAGCAAGGCTCGCACAGATCAAAGTTGACACAATCCTGACACTTATAGCGGTTGCCAACAACGGTCTTGTCGCACACGTCGCAAGTTATTCCGGAGTGAACACGTTCCCCATTTTCGGCACCTTCAGAAGTTTCAGCACACTTTTCACCCTCGCACTCGCAACCCTGACAATCGCACTCGGAAGACTCTGAAGACCCAGATCCTTCAGGAACCTGCATATTGGCTAGATTTCCAACAATATTATCCATAATATCGGGCATTGCGTTCTGCGCCCATGCTCCGGCAACACTCGCAATGTCATCTGAAATTCTGTCGCCCGAAGACTCAGACCCCTGAGGAACCTGCATATTGGCTAGATTTCCAACCAGACTGTCCATGATCCCAGGCATAGCGTTCTGCGCCCATTTTTCGGCAACGCTCGCAATATCATCCCCAACTCTGTCGCCATCTTTATGACCCATGCCTTCCATTCCTCTAAACAAACTTTCTAGGAAATCAAGCGGTTTTGGTGCTCTCTGTTCTTCTTCCTCATCCACAACAGACTCCGTCTTACTCTCGGTGGATTCGTTTGCATCTGAAACAGCTACATTTGCCTCCTTCTCCTTCTCACTCACATTCTTTGACTCCTCATCAGGTTCCATAGCCTCCACCGTCGCCTGTTGTGCGCTCATCTCCTCAGCATCGCTCTCTACCACTGGCTGCACGACTTCGGGTTCTTCGATAGTAGGCTCGACAATAAGCTCCTCTATTGCTTCAACTAGAACAGTATCGTCAACATCGTCAAAATCTACAACCTCGACAGGGGTAGGTGCCCCCTCGGCGTCGACTGAATCCGTGCGCGCAGCAGAAGCTACGTTCGTGAGCAACACTCGCAAAGTACCCTTAGACTCATCTAATGCCTCCTGAAAGTCGTCCTCTGTGCTTATGGTAACGTGATCTCCATCTTCGTCGACATACTTTGCCGTAAAATCCTGTGCATCGAAACGAGACCTTATCTGGCTCGCTGCATCTGCCCAGTTGTCTACTTTCAGACGGCGTACGTCACTTTGGCCATTTATGACCTTAATGCTCGTCATGATTAGTATGTATTATTAATTGACGCTTTATTTTAACTCACAGGCGAAATAATCTGACCAGTTTCAAAAAAGGAGCTGGTCTTTATATAGCCAATAGTTTGTATCGCATTTTAGTGTATACGTGGAGTGGGGTACATTTATTGTAAGAATTTCAGAGATAAAAGGTGAAATTCGTTTACTTACGAGTTACGGCTGAAAAATTTGAAAAATACAGGTTCTCGAATTTATTTATAGAGGCTTGGTTTTTAAGCCGGGTTATGCCCAAAATGATGACTCATAATTCTGACAATTTTCCCGAACGACGGTTTGTATTTGTATATTTTCAAAAAGAAAAAGAAAAAGAGTCTACAGTCGACACTCAACAGAGGATGTATTTATTTTACCATTTATATACTATTTAAAAAAATATTTACTCATTATATTTTGTATATTTTCTAACTCGAAAGGATTGGGTATGTTTTAAGAACATATATTTAAAAAAATATAACTTTAAATACAATTGTTTATTTTCAAATGAGGTCGACATTCAGAAAACGTGCTGAACTGTGAACATATGACGAAAGAAGTAGTTAGAAATAAAGAACAGACAAAAACTACTTCAGATGTTTTAAAGTTAAAAATGAGAAGTGAAGATTTTTCTGCAAATGCTATTTTGATGTATACGATTTTTGAGCAAAAGCAATATTGTCAATCTTAAAAGTCCGACGTCCGTGATTTTGCTGAAAAGCCTCGTCGTCCTTTAGTTCGCCTCTGTGCCTTCGGGCCATACAGCGAGAACGCGCGAGACGAACAGTACCAGTGGTGACGTGAATCTCCCACTGGCCCGCAGAGTATATTTTTGTTTTTCTAAAAATTAAAAATTAGATTCCAGGGGTCTTGTCTTCCTCAGGGTAGGATGGTGGGTGTTTCTTCTTTCTGGGGCTTCTGGGGGTTGTATCCCGAGCTACCATGACATTATTATGTAGCGATCTGTACGTTTTCTTATTGCATTTTGGGAAAGCACATGATTCTTTTTCCTAAATTAAGAATCTGAACCCAATTTCTATTAATCCTTAACCCAAAATCCGCAGAATCCAGAACTTAAACCCATTTTTATTTCGTTACATGATTATTAATTAAGAATAAGATATTGATCGTGTCAAAGCGGTGGTTCTTAATAATAAATCCATAATGCGTACTCCTTATTTCTTAATTAAGCCAATTTTGTTTCAAGATAATTTCTTAATAATGAACGACATATTAAGTGAGATAACATTCATATTTCTTAAAAAAGATATTATTTGGCGCTTGTGTACACAACTACACGTATGATGAAGATTTTACCACTACGAATAAATAATTAAATACATACTAAAATACAACTTTAACAGACCACGACTTCAAAGCTGTGCTCAGTAAGATCTGTGCCGCGAGACTCCTTTACGGATATAAATGAACGTCTACAGATTTGAGATGCAGCATGTATAATGCTCTATGTATCCGCTTACGACGACAATGACAAAAAAAAGTGGCAGTGATAAGTTGGATTAATCAAGGTACAATCGTTTCTGTCGTTGTAAACTTCGATGGAAATTACTAGGTTTCAAACTATATTAAACTAAAATACAATTTAGTCAGTTAGGATTTAGTAGTGGTAGCTTGTGTAAGAATGATCGGGACTGCCTCTTGTTAAGAGCCTAAATATCCTCGATCACACAGGGCGTACCTCTAGCTGTTCTTTATTGAATAATTTTCACTAGAAGTACTAAGTGTTCATGACCACATGCCTAATTTGTAGATAGACATAATAACGTAAGTCACGTTAATACATGAGCTGATATAAATAATGTTCCATCTGAAGAAAAGTTAAAAAAAGAAAAAGACTTATTGGATTTTGGAGATTGGCGGGAGGACCAAAATCTATAAGTAGTAGTTCGGAGAATATAAAATTTAGTTTATAATATCCTACATCTACTAATGTCTCAAATAGGTCCAAGTAAATGAGTCATACCAAATACTCAGGCTATTGGAGCCATCAAAGTGAATTTAGAACACTTTGGAAATATTGGAAAAAGAGCTTGTATTAAATTATTTAAAATACAAATAAAAACCAATGTATTATCTCAATTGATCTTGATATTTTAGACTGACCGGAGGCTGTATTTCTACATCGTCAGAAATGATGCTCTACATCAAAATGCAACATCCCGACATCAATGAACCTATCGATGAAACTATGTAAATTTAGAAACAAAGAATAATAAAATAAACGCATATAGTATTTGTCGGGAATCTCACTAGATGGGTTCTGCCTTTACACTTTAAAACACCACACTCTGGTGGCATGATAATTGATTGATACTATGAGTGATGAGTATGTGAATGAAAATATATATAATGTAATGATCTGTAATATATTCCCCGTTGTATCGCTGTTTTGACGATCACCTAATCACGCTGTCAGAATTTGTTGGCCAATAAATATAATTTTGACCACTAAATTTCTATACAATTTACATACATAAAAAAATGATATACCAATTTGACTACTTTTAATATTTTCCTTAGTCAAAAGAAGGTAGCCTCAACATGCGTTTTGACTTGCTGACGCTTTTATGTGTCCCAAAATAGTCTATAAATGTTGTGTGTACTAATGTGACCTCAAAATACACTGTTTTTTTTTTGGCAAATTTACCATAATAATTCACCAAACCGAAAATCGCCTTCTTTTTTTACCAATTCCAAAAGTACCTTCTTTTTTCACTGATTTTTTTTGTACACTGTCGTTTATTTATTTATTTTTAGATAAATTTTTACAAAAAGTCTTGAGGGACCAACTGACGTCGTGTCTTGACATTGCGCGACGACAGCACGCGTACATGCAAACGGTCAGCGTGGAACGGTGCAATATAGTGTCGGCGATCTAAATGACATCGATGAATTGCAACCAACTTCCATCTCACACCTATGCGGCGGCTGCGTCTGGGAAGTACCGCTGCCAGCGCATCATCGGTCAGGACACGATTGTACATTTGTCTCTCTTCCGGACTCATGGTGGCAACAGTCATTGCGCTCCAAATAGCAGGTAACATTGAAAGATCGCTGGAGCCTATCACCTCGATGTCCGACTCATCTACATCGCTGCTGTCAAATGCAAACTCTCGATCATCATCCAAGGGACCAAACATGAACTCCAACTCCGCGGCCGCGGCCCGTCGCGCGTTCTCACAAGCCTTTTTCTCGGCTTCCTGGCGATCGACCACGAGATGATTGGCCGCGTGTAAGGATAGTTTCGCATACTTCTCGCTCTCCGGTATATACACTATCGCCACCCCATCGCTGTCACACGTAGAGTGTACCGTGGCAGACACCTGTCCGATAAGGATCTGCTCGCCATCAAGAGACCCACGGGGCTTGGTTAACGTACACTTGTATGATGCACCGCGCAGCAGGGACTCGTAATCGGCGGCCAGCTTTATAGTCGGCAGCTGGGTAACTTGGGCTGGGCACAGGTGGCGTTTGAACGCAATAATGTTGAGCTCAACCTCGCACTCTGCGCACGTCCGACGACAAGTTTCGAGCACCTCGTGTATAGCGCGGTTCTTGAACATGACAAACGTTCTATTGCGACACGTGCAACATGAGTCGCCCTTGGTCTTGGTCACACAGCTGGCGCACAGTGACGTTCCACAGCAAGAAGACTGTTTGATACCTAGCGTTACTGTGGTACAGATGACACAAGTAAAGTGCGATTCAAGTATCCCCTGCATTGTTGTTGTTGTTGTTGTTGTTGTTGTTTGGTTGCTTGTTGTTGTTGTGGGGGAGATTGTGAATCAAACCTTGGACTATTCGTTGCATTTTATACCCCCATTTTTTTTTTCGTTATTGAAACCACCCCCATATGTCAGGCGTGAATGATGATGTTTTTTTTTACGACTCGAGCACACTTATACGTTCAATCAGTGTACCAATAATACTCTCGTGTGCAGCCACCTGTTTCACCAGAGCCTGGTTCTGCTTCAGCCGCAAATCCGACTGCTATAGCCTGTCGCCCCTGCTGGGTATTTCCCGTGAGATTCCCGATACCTATAGCGTATTCACACTGTTCAGTCTGTCCTGCATTGTTACCAATGCCAATTGCCATTTTACTCTGTGTGATCATGCCCGCACCATAGCCAATCGCAACACTATTTTCACCTTGCGTAGTGTGTCCGGCATTGTATCCCACGGCAACCGATCGGGTAGCCTGATTTTTATACCCCGATTGCATGCCAACAGAAACCGATTGGGCAGCCTGATCTCTACTGTTAAAAACGTGATTATCGGCATTTTCATTATTTTCGTCCAAAGACAAATCAGACTCAGCCAACGCACACACGTTTCTTATTTTTTCTTTTAGGGACCCTCACAGTTTGTGTATTTGACCTGCTTCGCGGGATCGCAGAGCTTGTGGATGCCACCGCCCAGTTTGCAGCTTGTAAACTCAAACTTGGCCACACCGTTGCACGGCCCCTGGTACGCGCCCCCGTAAATGAGGTTGGTGCCTTTCAGCTCACAGTTCGTGGCGCGGTACGTCTGTGGCTCCACTCCGACTCTGAATGTCTGGTAATTGTCAAACATGTGCGTGTTGACGAGGTTGATAGTGCCCACGAACGAGTTGCCGGCCTGGATGCTTTTGTCCTTTGCCTTTGACATTGAGCAGTTGACGAGGTTCAGCGTCCCGTCCCTGGCCTCCTCGCGGAACGAGCACGCGTCCTCGCCCACGTCTGTCCAGGTGACATTGTTGAGGGTCCACGTATCGCTCTTTGACGTACTCTTGCTCACAAACCAGATGCCATCGAGCCCGTTTGCGGACAATATGACGTTCTTGATGGTGCCGCCGGGATAGAGCTTAAAGTATGGTTTCTGATCCTCGGCCTGGCTGCCGTCACCCATAGCGCCGCTGGGCACAATGGTCTGGCATTTCCCGTCGTACGTCTCACCACTCTCTACAATGATTGTATCGCTAATGTTTTTCGTGCCACTGCTCGTGCACAGCTTCACAGACGGATCGATCCCCACGATACTGCCATTGCCCCCCGCGCCATCGTCACCACCGCCTTCGCCATCAATCCCAGAGTCATCGTCACCACCGCCTTCGCCATCGCTTCCAGCAGTCCCCGTTGATTGGTTTTGCGTCTGCACACTCGTATTGCCAGTACTAGATGTCGTCGACGTGTTGCCTAGACTCTGCACAGGAACGTCGGGTGTGCTTTTAGCATACACAACTACGGCCACCACCACTCCGACAATGATTATGAGAAGGAACAATGAGAGTAGAATAAGCGATGTCGCATCCATTATTTAGGGTTTATTTTAGGGTTTAGGAAAAAAAAATAGGGTCCCCCGGACGAGTTATGCGAGCTTTTTCCAGCCGCTGTTAGTGTCAAGCCAGATCTCGGTTGCCAGCGACTTGTTCTTTGACAAATCAGAATCGGACACGTCATCATACTCAAAGATCCAAATGGGCTTCTGCCCCGCGGCGACCTCGTGGAACACCTGTGTGTCCCCCCACTGGATAGACTCTTCGCATATGAAACCAACATAATTGTCCTGCACGGTCTTGTCCTTGCGAATCAGGTCGGCGGCGTTCTTGAACAACGGCCCGAGTCCCGTTGCAACGGTGACCTCGCCCAGTTTTCGGGTGTAATCGACTTGGTCAGAGATGTCTTCATCTGAATTTTCAATGTTGTCAAACTCTATATATGTAGAAATACGGGGGAACTGAAC